GAAGGAATTTTCTTAAAAGTTGTAGAACGAATGGAAAATTGTTCAAGATGGGTAAAATTTCTTGGCGTAGTATGAATGATGGCTTTAATGCTAAACTGAAGATTTTTGACAAAAGGTTTAATATATGTTTATGCAATTGTTATGGTGTAGGAGTATAAAAAAATGAAATGCAGATCAACTTGCCAATGAAAAATTGGATGCATTTGTTTGACTAAAAAAACACGAAAATAAACTGGTACCAGTTGATCATAATTACACATCTACTTAACAATATATGAAACATGAATATATAAATTTTTAACAGCAGCAGTTAAATACGCATAAAAATGTAGAGAAAGTGATGGATCGCGTTAATAATTATACCTTTTATAAATCTGAGAAAAGTATCGAATTAGATAAATGTAATGATGAAAATAACATAATTTGTAATATGATAATGTTTGAAAGAAAAGTAACCGAACAGGGCTCGAATTAAGTGATCGCGAATGGCAATACCCAGAAATATCTGTGGTCATTAAATTCTTATTTTTTTAAAAAACCGTAAACACTGTTTTAATGAAATGGTCAGTTTATTGTATTGCAAAAATTAATGAAAAAGCAAAACAATAAATTTACTACTGCAAAAATAATAACAGTGAAAATGTACATATTATTAGTTTTTTTTTTTTTTAAACAATAGTTAATAATATGTAATTTAAGGATCATAAATAAAAAAAAGTTGTAAGACAAAAATTATTATTACTAAAGGTCCGATAAACTTTTGCAGTAATTTAAAAATCAACCAATGAAAAACTATGCTTAAGCTGTTTGCGCTTTGGATTAAGCTTTGTATAAAAAAACAACCAATTAAAAAGTATGCTAAAGCTACTTGCACATTATATTAAACATTAATTTAGATTATTATTTAGGGGGACAGTTTATGGAATTATTTGTTTAAAAATATAAATGTTTTAAATTAGAATTTAATTATTTAATAAAAAAAAAGTTGTAAAATATATTTTTTAAAAATATGTTGTTAGAGTTTCTTCTTTTATTGTTTTGAAGTAGCTAATAAAAAGTTTAAATTAGTTTTTATATATTAACTCCTCCGTCTTTTAATTTTATATTCGTATCAGCTTAAGAGTTACAAGCGTCAAATTTATAAGAAAATATTGAATGAGATTAAAATAACATATAAAAGTATTTTATATCTTAATGACCAATTTCTTTTATTTAAAATATTCGATCACTGTTAAAGACCTTTAGATTGTTGTTATAAGCGCTTGTTTTTTAATATTTATATCCTACTTTATCGTGCTTTGTTTTTCTAGTTTTATTTGATGTTTTATAAAACAAATTAAAATATTAAAGTTTAAATTATAAGCTTTAATAATAATATAAATAATAGTGATAGTATGGTTTTACGTTAAGAATTTATAACATATTTGACGTAAATATTTTTTATTTAATGATATCTATTGAGTTTAGTGATCAAAACAGTTATACAGTTTTTGAAAAGCTAAAATTTTAAAGACCAGAAGCATTTCCAGAAATCGAAAGTTGCGATCACTTAATTTGAGCCCTGCCAAAATGAGTTTTTTTTTACAATGAATTGGGTATTGTGGAAGATCGATATTGCTTCAGTTGCCGAGCAATTGCTGCTATTGTTTATGCTGCTAATAAAGATATAAAAATACTAAATGAATCAACTATGCTAGACAGGAAAAAAAATGAACATATATTAGAGTGGTGCTCATAAAACATATGTTCTTGACCCGAAACAAGAATAGGCAAGCGATCTATTTTTTCATGTTTTCCTGATATATCAGGGAGTAACTATGCAGAGCAATTGCTGCTATTGTTTATGCTAAGAATTGAGACAGCATGTCTCAATTCTTCTCGTTCTGTTCTGGCTTTTATAGCCTCTTGTCTCTCAAGTTTACGCTTCAACTTGACTGCCAATTTTCTGTCTATTTGTGCCATTGAACTTGAGTGTCTTCCATTTCCAAGCTGAGCTTTAAGAAAAAATTTGTCTTCTGGATTTTGTATAAGCCTCTCGGCATCAACATGAGAAATGTCGAATGTATCTTCAAATGATGCAACAAAGGCTGTTTCTTTCGCTATCTGAGTTGCTCCTCCTCTTTTTGAAGCTTTTTCCACTCGTTGTATATTTTCTCTAGCCTCGCAATTGCATGTTGCAATGTTGTCATTGGCATGTAAGCCTTGTTCCAAAAATCAGCAACTGTTTTAATAGTAATGTCCGAACTTTCTCGCACGGTTTTTTTGTTTATTTTCAACTGATGGAAGAAAAAAAATTGTAATGCTTGCTTTCGTGATGGTAGTCTAGTACCATTAATGGAGGCATTTGTGAAACCGAGAAAGTAAATTTCGGTTGCAGATCTAGTTGCAGGTTTTGACTGTGACATTTTCTGATATTTATTAATCTAGAAAAATACAAATAAAGTTATGCAATAATCATGATGTGAATTGCAAAAGTTATAAAATTTTATTCATTTAGTATATATTCAGTGATATTCATTATTCAGTATCTTTTTTAAGCTTAGAGATATGAATTTATACAAAATAAAATTCAAAGTAGTTTACATAATTTATATTACAAAATAACAACTTAAATGTATACTGACTTTTCACAATTGAGATATTTCACTGCCAAATTGTTAAAAATAAAATTTTTTAGTTAAAATAATTAATTTGGTAGTCTGATAGTGATAAACATACAAAATGGCAGTTTAGTGGAAAATTACAAGGAATTCTGGGATAGAAAAGATAAGTAAGTGGGCTGCAGCTAAGTAATTAATAATTAGGCTCTATAAAAATTTAACTATTTGAATGTAACAAATTTCTAAAAATGCTAAAATGCTAAACAGTAAAATTTCTGTTTTTTTTATCTGTATTTGGAAATTCATAAATATTTTTCATATACAGAACATTAACTAGTTGATAAATTTAACAACTGGTCAGATTCTTAAAAAAACATAAAGAGTATACCTCATTGAAAAGACTTCTGGTTGTGTTCAAAATGGATTTATAGATAAAAAAATGTATTTAAAGATTTCAATAATATTCAACAACACATTAATTTACACGGCTATCTTTTCTATCGCGTACATGTGATTTTATCAGTTGGCATGTGGCACCTTTTAATGAAGGAATATTTTTATGAAATTTTGCACATGAGTTCATGAAATCAATAGAAACAGGGCTAGAGGTTGTCCCAGACAAAATCTAAACATATAATTTTTGATTACCACCCTAATATATATATATATATATATATATATATATATATATATATATATATATATATATATATATATATATATATATATATATATCGTTATAGTGTAGTCGAAAGAGACTTTTATGGTAAAAAAAGTCTCTTTCGACTACTATTTTAATTACCTCGGCTTTTAAGCTGTATTTGATTGTTGTCGAAATGTCAAAGCAATTAAATAAATCCGGAAAAACATTAAATTTTATTGTTTTTTAAAAAAACCGCAATAATAGTGACTATAAAGTTTTTTTTTTAATTAGTCGTGTTTTTGTTTTTGCTTTATTAAAAAACATTTTTAAAACATGCGTAAGTGTTGCTACATCGACTATCTGTTAGCCTGCTGCTACAAGGTAGTGTTGCTACATCGACTATCTTATAGCCTGACTCGCATCGAGTGCTGCTACATCAAAAAAGCGATTTTCTGTATTATAGTAATCGCGGTAGCTTTCGTTGCTGCTTGTAATAAATAATATGTAGACATTAAAAAAATTTCAAAACTACGTATACCTATACTTATATCAAATTATGATGCTTTAAAAAAACTCCAATGACGGAGCCTGAGATTTAGAAAAACCGTAAAACTTAGCCCCCCCCCTAACCCTACCCTAATGGTGAGGGCAATAAGTTGCCCAAATGTATACTATTGTTATTCTGAACTAAATTTACATTTATCGACAGATTTTAAATTTCATTTAATAATTATGTAGCGTTAAAAAGGTATGACCATGTAAAGTTGCCACCCTCCCCAAAAAGAGGAAGTTAAAAGCTCAACGTATAGTTCTATGGTGTTTTTATTACAAAATTTAGTTTAATATATTACATAATTTTTGTTGTTAAACCCAGAGATAAATCTAGATGAAGTTGGATTACCATTCCCCTTATAATATAACTTTATTACGAGTTGCAGGTAGAGAAATGGGAATAAATAAAAATAAAGTTAACGTAATTTTAAACTTTGATTAAATAACCAACAATCAGCATTTTAAAATAGTACTAATAACATTCGATCTAAAATCTTTTTTCTTTTTCCTTTTTTTATTTCTTTTGTAAACATGGTTTAACAAGAACAAATCTTGTCTCTTCTTCTCTTTCGTTAATTTTTTAATCAGCTCTTTTACTAGAGTTATGGTCCGTTAACCACATCTAGTGATTTAATAGTAGATTCAAACTCAAGATAAAAATTGTTAAACTTCCAAAACTGCGAGGAAATCTTTTGCCACTGCAACTCACCCTTTCTATGTCCTATCTTATCAAAGATGAGCCAAGGTTGCTCAGTTATTAGAGAGCAAAGAGAAGGAGGCTGATCTTGTGAAAAGTCTAGAGAGTGAAGAACCTCTTTATTGACCATAACACGTTCAAGTGGATACACTATTGGTTTGATGGAAAGTTTATTGTATAATGATGTGGCACCTTCTCTGTTTGGCCAATGTTTATCTGTTAATGCGAGCACAACTAAGGCAGGGTCAAGGTACCAGCTGTGTCTGTCAAATGATTCTATTGCTAAAGTAGCTCCAAGAAGATATATATCCTAAAAATATGTTTAACAATATTAGATTAAGTCATCAATTAGAAAATTAACTCATCATTTTTTACGTTTTTTTCTTATTTATAATAATTACTTTTAACCTGATATGGCGCAGCAGCTTCCGATACTGCTCTAAGAAACCATTGAGTGTAAAAGATACCGACAAACATAGCCATTTCACGAGTCTCTTCTTTATTTTCTTCTGATAAGCTTGGAATAGCTTCCAATAGTAAATACATTTTGAGATAATACAAAGCTTTTGACATGAATCTTGCATGATGTATTGGACCAGGAATACGAAACTTGAACCTATCTTTTTGAGAAACTACCATCAAAAAAAGTTCCGCTAATTCTTGATAATCCTTTCTTGATTTACCATCCTAAAAATAAAGGATTTTTTATATTTATGATTATGATTTATTTTATTATGATTGTGTATACAGATTGTTTAAATTATTTTAAGCAAGCTACTACAAAACTGTAATTAACCTTTTTATAGATCCTATTATCTATTGCATCTCTGTAGAATTTTTCAGCTTCAAGATGTTGTTTATTTATCCAAGTTCTATTTGGAGTTTCAATCCTCTTCAATGTAACAATGTCTTTTTCAAGATCATTCCAGACAGATTTCAGGTGTTTAAAAAGCTGGTTTTCTGGACCAGACGTTTTACTACTGGGATATATCTTGTTAAAGTGGGTAATATGTCTTTCCAATATATGATGTCTACAGGCAAGGAAAAGTAGTGGCCTTCCCAGCTTATCAGCCATTCTTTGGAATTTGAAAAAAGTGTTGGAAGCTGTAGTATCAAAGCATATACACTGTATATGATGACTAAGACCAAAAGAATCTAACAGATTATAAACTGCTTTAAACTGATTTTCCCCAGAACCTGACTCAATATGAGGAATACCTAGGAGCTCAGTTTTCTTATTCACTTTTACTAGTACTGCTAATCTTTCTCTTGTAACTGAAACTTTATCTGTATATTCTTTAAATATTTTCCCGTCAAATTGAACAGAAATCAGCTTATATATGGAGTCAGTCAAGTCTTTTATATACTGTCTAATTTTTTGAGCTTCCGAATTTATTACTTTATCTGCAGCTCGAAGAGATGATGATTTGGATACAACAAATTTATTTATTTTTCCTCCTGAAATTGCTATAACATTGCTTATGATAGCAGTGTGCTGATTAATAGAAAGGCATTCTGAGCTTAAGGAAAAGTCACTAACATCAACTTCTGAGCTATAAGTTGCATCTAAATCTCCTATTTTCTCTGATGATTTACTTTTAATTTTTTTTTTTCAGATCATTTTGCAGACTTTTCGAAGCAAGTATCAGAAATGCCTAGACAACCTCGTCTTTTTTCCTTCTGCATTTTCAAGAACAAAATGTCCATACATTTACTTTCTTCAGTTCTTTTTCTATCCTTTTTTATTTCATCAATCATGATTTGCATGTCATGTCCTAACCAAAATACTCTTTTAGATTCTATTAAGAAGATCTCTCTATCTTTTATTGCTCCTGGTGTGGATCTGTTTCTTAGCGATTGCAGCTTTTTATATTTCATTACTACAGCCTCGACTTTTTCCTAAAAATAAGACTAAATAACTGCAAAGCTAATTTTGATTAAGATTTCATAAATATTACTAACCGTAAAACGCATTGTATGTCACGAGTTCTGTATCCACCAAGTTCCCATGAAACTTTCAGCTTTGATATAACGCAGCAGTTCTCTCCCTAATCTGGACAATTAGGTGTAAATGTAGAACCTTTGTTTGGACAAAAAACTAAGTTTTTGAGAGAAGTTGATGGTTTGGACTCACGTAAGTAAAGATAATACTGTATAACTTCTTCTACATTTGCAAATTTAGTAGATGATAGAGTCTTTCTAGTTTTTTTAACTAAGAATATTTCTTGAGCTCTATTTTACATTTTTTTAGGAATTTTTAGCATAATTGTTTTTTTTACTTTTTATTTTATGTAAATAAATTATAACAAAATTGATTTTTATTTTAAAATAAAAACTTTACCAACGTTAATAAGTTTTGTTTAATGTTATTTAAATAGCAGGTGTTGAACATTGAGTATGATTATTACATTTGAAAAATGAGATCATACCGCTGTCATTGAAAGAGTTGCGTGTATAGAAAATTCATTAGATTTGAAAAAAAAATTGTTCTTAGGTATTTTTAAAGAATACCTTTTAAGTTTTCAAAAAATAAATTGAGTTAGAGTGCCTTTTTATTTTTTTGTATAGGTCCTTGCAAGAATATGTAAAAAAAAATAATTTGAATTTAATAACGTTTAAGGGTGGCACACGGGGGTTGAAAAACGTCAGAAAAAGGTAAAAAAAAAGTACTTTTGGGCCGCGTGCCACCCTTAAACTTCAAAATAAAAAAAAAAAATCCTATATATAAAACAAGGGTATATATATATATATATATATATATATATATATATATATATATATATATATATATATATATATATATATATATATATATATATATATATATATATATATATATATATATATATATATATATATATATATATATATATATATATATGTATATAAATATATATGTATATATATATATATATAAATAATATATATATATATATATATATATATATATATATATATATATATATATATATATATATATATATATATATATATATATATATATATATATATATATATATGTATATAAATATATATGTATATATATATATATATAAATAATATATATATATATATATATATATATATATATATATATATATATATATATATATATATATATATATATATATATATATATATATATATATATATATATATATATATATATATATACAAAACAAAAAAATCTTTATAATCCTACTTAAGGTGAAACTGACAGAAGAAACTCAAGTTAGATAAGTTTTAACTAAGTTTTAACTGCTCTGTTCTTTTTGTAAAAAACCAATCAAACTTGACTTATATTAGATATTAAATACTTTTTTTTTAGGAGATCCTATAAGGCTTAACCAAGGAGAATATGAATGCGGCCGTCGTGGAACCTTCAATTTACTAACTCTTCACTATGTCATAAGCCAGTATGAGTTATATTATGTGCAATTTATTAACATGGATCTTAATTCAAACTTTTCAACCTCAGTCTTAATGTTGACACCAAATAAAAACCAAATAAATTATGAATATGCTACTGTTGGAGTTTCCATTTCAGCAACTCGTCACAGTTCTGTTAATTTCTTTCAAGATTTAACTTATACATTTTTGGTATGTATGGTCATCTAGTGTTTTATCGATTTAAATTTTTTTTTTATAAATCCAATCATAATCAATTTTAAACAATTTTAATTTTTAAACAAAAATAAACAGAATGAACTGTTTCTGTTTTTGGATACTGGTTATTTTATTATGGTTTCTTTTATTCACTATTGGATCTTTTTTTTTCTTAACAGTTTTGAGGTCTGTTCCTTCATAATATAGGCTGTAGTAACATTTAGTTAACCGATGTTATTATTAATCTTAAATATTCTTTCCCTGTTATGTAATTTATTTAATTATGTTAATAGGCTCTACGTTATTTTATTTAAAATATAACTCAAAAAATACATGCACAAATTTCAAAAAATATTTTTTGTTTCTCCATCGATTTCCTTAATGGATATAGCATAACATATCTTAATATAACTTGGCTTTTTGTTGGGAATAAAAACCAGGCTACTCCAAAGTTTAAATTAAATATTGCTTTTAATCAAATGTTGAAAGGATAACAAATATCAGTGACTTTAGTATTTTCTATTCAGCATAAGTTTTACGTTTTAACCAAAGTGAGTTGAGAATTGAGAATTGAAAGTTAAGAGCAACTAAATATTAATAGGAAGTAGTTAGAGCGCTTGCTTTAGAAGCATGAGATCCAGGTTCGAAACGAGCTCTAGACATAATTTCGCGTCACGGTAAGGAAGGAGGCGTCAACTTCCTGGTTAAATGCACATTAAACGCAAATTTTTCCCATTTCGGAATTTAAATAGCTGGTAATGGTTGCTAAAATGTTTTAAAAAACGAAAACAGTAATATAAATCGAAAGACTAAGCACTAAACCAATATTTTCACCTATATTTTTTTAAATTTATGAACCTATACTTAATCCTTTTTTCCATCTTATATTTTTGTTTTGTTGAGGTGTTTTTATATCTATCTGCAATAACTGTTACCAGTCACTTATATATTAAAAAAACCTTTAACACTTATAAATTAAAAAAACCTACCATGCTTTTTTCTTAATATTTTTTAAAAGCTTTTTTTTTAACAGATATTTCTTCTTTTTAAAATATTGCATTTATTGATCTCTTTCCAGGCCTAAAAGTATGTTATTGAAAAATAGAAAATTTTTATTTTGTTTGTTATAGTAATTTCTAAATTCTCATTACCTGTTTAAGCAATACTATTTTTCAATATAAATAGCATTCTATCCCTACATAGTAGCATGTCTTTCCTTCTTTATAAATATTTATACTATATAAAAACTGTGATAGATAAACATTTCTTTCAATCATATGAGGTTTGACTCTGATACATAACTGAATTACGAAATTCTAAGACCTATTGATTATCATCAAACCTCTGAATGAAACAACATATTAGCCAATACACTAGTATGATCTGCCAATTTTCTTAACCACGTCCCTAAAGAGCTAGCTGATTTTACCCCACTCCAGGTAGATCAGCTAGCCCACTCCTCTCAGGGGCTAAACAAGTAGGGAATTATGTCTCCCATTGTTAAATAACTTTGAACTTTCTCTCACCTCCTATTCAATTTGGCAATTCCGCCCATTTTATCATTGTGCCAACTTTTTATTTATATGTTAGGCAATATTGGTTAAAATAATCCTAGCCTCTCTTGGGAGTGTTTAGAGTGAATTTAGGTTCTGGCTGGTTTGTTTCCTGCAGAATAAACTTCTTTTAGAACTATTTTTCTATATGAAATTATTTCTTCAGACTTTTAGTGAAACTTATGTGATAAATAAGTAATTACTTTTGCTGCTGAATAAAAACTTTACTTTGTATTCTATTACTCAACCATTTTTTTTTCTAATTAAGACTTATTCTACTTTTACCTGAAAAGCCACCTGACTCAAATTCATAACTTTTTTTTATCAATCTTTCCACTTTTAAATCAAATAGAACTTACATTAACCAACCAACCTTAAACTTATCACTTTTTTTACAATTACACTTACCAGCTATTTGATTAGCTTGATTACAGAAACAGGAGAAGAAAAATCACTAAGATTTCAGTGTATGAAGGATGGAGTGGAGTAACAAAAGGGCTGAGAATAAACACAAGTAAAACAAAGTTTATACATTGCTAAGTCAAAAATTAATTAACTAAATACTGGAAAATGGCCATATGTTGTATACGGAATGTATTAGAATACTATGATGTATGACAGTTAAATTTTGTCGCAATAGCTTGAAAAACATATATCAATTTTCAAAATGCAATACTCTAGAATTATTTGCTAACTGCTATTTCTCATTGAAAATATATTAATTATCTTACTTAATTTACTCCCTAGCATTTTATTTGCTAAAAATAACTACATGAAATTGACAAGTTTGCAGCTTCCGTGTGTGACTTCTGTGCGTCATCATTCATGAACTGCATTTGCATAATTGCTGTGACTCAATGATATATAGTGCAACTCCGTAACGTTTAGATATCTTTACAACACCTTTTTGCGTTTAAGTTGACCAATTTTCACTTTAAATTGGTATTTTATCAATATAATTTGTCAATTTTCACTTTAAAAAAATAAAATGAAAATTGCTAAATTAAAATGAAAAAGTGCCAAAATAAAGTGAAAATTAGCTAACTTAACCTACAACTATTATTATCACTTTATTTTGGCATTTTTTTATTTTTATATGGCGTTTTAATATTTTAATGTTAATTATTGCGAGAGAGTTGCAAATAAAATAAAATTATAAAAATAAAACGAGACTTTTTTGACTGTAGTGGCTCGATGGGTTTAGGAAGATGAATTTAAATACAAAAAACAACAAATTTTTATTGTGGTTAAAACCCTACCTTAACTCTTATCTTAACTTTAACTACATTACAGGCCCGTACTGGTGCACCAGGATACCGGGAAAATCCCAGTAGGCCTTATAAAAATTATAAGACATGGCCCCCTACCAAATAGGTACCTGAAGTTTTAACAAAACCGTAAAAGTAGCTTTCTAAAACAAAAAAAGTATAACAAAAAAAGTCTCAATGAAACTGCTTCTAAATCTTAACCGAGTACAACTTTTTCAGAATGTATTTCTAAAAATGTTGTACCCAATTCACCCTAAAAATTACAAGCTCATATATTATCCAATATTATAACTGTTTTAAGTCAGAATTCAACTGAAAATCAAACAAATCAGAATACAGAGTCAAATGAAATTGAATGTATTTCTGGAAAAGTTGTACCCGATATGCTGTTAAAATCACAAGTTCTTATAACATCTAATATTGATTCAATACATTGTCACCCTCTACATCTGTTTCAACTGGTATACAAATTTCTACAGACTCTGAAAATTACTACTTGAGAATTGTAAAAAAAAGAATTATCAAATCAACAAATACGCTCATTATCAACAACGACTTTTTCCGAGTATAATGAGCGTCAACATTCAAAGACTTTTGAACATTCTGATCTTCTACACACAGATATTGTCGATAAAGTTAATTTGAACTATTTTATAAAACCTAGTGAAAAACAAAATATTCAAAGATTTTTTTTTCATCCATCATCAAGAAAAAAAACAAGATAGCTCTGTTTAATACTTCATCCCCATTGAATACTTCTAAAGCATAATATGTAACAATGTCAGAGTGGCAGTAAAAAATTAAAAGAAATTGGTTAAGTTGTTGGGTTTATTCTTCTCAAAGTTTGGTTTTTACAAGTGTTGAAAGTTTTAAAGATTAGGTTGATGTGTATGAATGCATAAAAGATCAGGAAGAGTCATAAAACAACAGAGAAGTATCAAAATGTTATATGAATAATAGTCGAAAATAAAGTGTTGACGGATTATTTAACAGAGTCCAGAGTATTGCCATTTAGAGGATTTAAGTATGAGGCAGCTTATAATTTAAATTATACAGCAGGTTATCATGAAAAACTTTTAGAAATTTTTTCATTATTAATAATATTGATTTAAATTGTCACATTGCTAAGGTAGTAATAGAAAATAAAAAGCGAAAAGGCGCGAAAAGGGTAAGGGAAATTTGTTTACTTTATCAAGTCCAACAACTAAAACAAACATTATTCGAACTCCTTGTAAATTATTATCATTAAAAGTATCTGAAGAAGTGAATTCAGCTAGTATTTATTCAATTACTATGGATACAAATATGGATATATCTACCCATGATCAATTTGTATTTGTTTTGTGGTATATTAGTGACAGAACTGAAGGCATAAGGTCATAGATGAAGTTGTGGAACATGTAGCTTTAAACAACGTCATTTCATCTTCAGGACAGGGTTTAATTGATTTATAAAATTTAACTTCAAGTTCTTTGAACATTAACTCAGATAATTGAGTAGCTGATGCTTTAGATAATGCTGCCAATATGAATGACCAGTAAAAAAGAGTTCAAGAAAAATTGAAGTGATGTGAAAAATTAAAGAGGTACACTAAACGAATTTTTATACATGGTGCTACGCTCATGTGTTAAATCTAGTCTTTTGAACTGAACAAAGTACTTCTTGTTCATTTACAGTTGTTTCTTTTTTTAGAATTTTTCAAGAATTATTTTTTATAGTTATTTTTAAGAATAATTTTTCAAAGAATCTGACAACAGACTCAATGTTTATAACAGAGTCTATTGTGAGATTCTCCCAGTGGTTCGTCACATTTGATAAAAATTGGTAAAAGTCATAAAGACTCACGGTTTTAAGATATTTGGTTGTATCGATTAGTGGAATGAAAGAACTAAAAAATGATGACAGAAAGCAGTTTGTACATGTGCAAATTGTATTTGCATTTTATGAAATTTCTGTTACTAGTTCTATTTTCAAACAACGTAAGAAATACACCTCAACCTTTACAAGGTCAACTTGTTATAAAACAGTAATAACAGTAATGAAGTTTTTGCAAATATTTAAGTTTAATACTGCTTTATATGATTCCCTACAAACATCTGGTCTAGATTATATTAAAGCACGCAGAAAATTTGATGGAAAAAAAAAGTCTTTAAAAGAAAACCAAAAAGAATTTTTACCAGTCAGTGCAGGGGCAAAATATTTTACTGAATTAGTATCCTGTGTAATTTGGGAAGATGAGTCAGATATTGAAACTCAGAAAAGTAAAACTATTCCAGAACGTAATGGAGAAAATTCAAGTACTAACCAAAGCATAGAAGTTAGAGATACTTCCGAGAAGGTTTATAAAATCAAAACATTATTATTACTTGCTTAGAGTGTAAATTTTCAGGCAGTAAAGAGCTTTGTTGTGACCTTGAACTATTTGATCCATAAAGGTTTAAAAAAATTTAAAAAAATGGAATTCATTCTGAAACTGTTCATAAAATTTTTGAACTTTTACTTCATATTGATAAACATAAATTAGGAGAACTTCAAATATCGTTTGTAAAATTCTGGCCTCAAATATCCAAAACTAGTATTAAAGATGTATATGATGTATACCAAAACCAAAGCAATTTGTGAGAAGATTCAGACTTAAAAGAATATGAATATTCTTAAGAAAATGATATTAATAAGTGTACAAGAAAACAAAATGTAACTCATTTTTATTATGCAAAAGTTATTTATAAATTATTTGAAGTATACAAGTGTATTTTAACAATTCCTCTTTCTCATGTACGTGTGAACACTCGTTTTCAAAACATAAAGTTATAAAAATACGTTTAAGAAGTTGTTTAACAAAGGATAATTCGGAGTCATTTTTTTGATGAACTGCGAAAATAAGTTGTTGGCACACACTACACTGGATCAATTACTTTATCAAGTCCAACTACTAAAACAAACATTATTCGAACTACTTGTAAATAATTATCATTAAAAATCTGACAAATATGGATAGATCTACCAAATTTTAATTGGTTAAAAATGTACTGAAAAAATATGAATATTTGCAGCTTAGTTTTTAAACCTTTTATGGAACTATTGCAACTATTTGTATATCATTTCCGCTGTTTAGAACTATTTTTTAATAACATACTACTAATAATTTATAATTTATTCTACTTTATCAAGATCAGTTAAATAAAAGTTTATTATGTTAATACTGCCTCGTATTTATTTATTTTCATAGAACTTAAATTAAAATATAGATTTGGTTTATTACTTAGGTTCCTGTTAATTGTATAGTTTTTTTATAGTGTAAGAAATGGGTGAATAACCTGGCTATTATTATAGGTATGCATTGAACCCATTGCTATTAGTAAGCATATTGTATATATTAGGTGGTCCTAATTGTATCTCTCTCTCTCTCTCTCTCTCTCTCTCTCTCTCTCTATATATATATATATATATATATATATATATATATATATATATATATATATATATATATATATATATATATATATATGTATATATATATATATATATATATATGTATATATATATATATATATATATATATATATATATATATATATATATATGTATGTATATATATATATATATATATATATATATATATATATATATATATATTTATATATATATATATTTATATATATATATATATATATATATATATATATATATATATATATATATATATATATATATATATATATATATATATATATATATATATATATATATATATATATATATGTATATATATATATATATATATATATATATACATAAGTATGTATGTATGTATGTATGTATGTATGTATGTATGTATGTATGTATGTATGTATGTATGTATGTATGTATGTATGTATGTATGTATATGTATGTATACATTATTTTTATATAAAAAGGTTGGCTTTGTAAACATAACAACTCAGTTTGCAATTTCATATACACGATTTGCATATAATACACAAAGACTTATTGTTTATCTTAAACCCTTTAAAGTTGTGGCAAATGTAAAGAATAGTCAAGCTGCTGCTTGGGTTCATGATGTTTATGCTTATTATTCGATGTAAGTATTTTTTGATTATACATTCACTTTATTCAATGTATATGGATTTAAGCAGGTTGAATTTTTAAAATTAAAAAATTTTTCTTGTAACTTTTTTACCCTTCAATTTTGAGCCTTCTTATCACTTTTCTTTTAGTCGATTATTGTTGTTCTTGGAAAACCTTAAAATGATACTTTTTTACTTATTTTTTATAAGTTAGTGTTAATAACCTTAAAATGATACTTTTGTAATTGTTTTTTGATGAATAATGACTTAAAAAACCTTTTTAAGTATTTATTTATCAAAAAACAATACCTTTTAAACTTGAAATAATTTGTATATTTAAGCAAAGTTATAACATATGTTTTTATTGTTTTTATTAAATTTTTGATAAACAAAAATAATATTCATGGCTTTCCATGTCAAATTGTTTCAATGCCAGAAAATATAAAGACTATACAAATAATGACCTGTCTAAATGTCTTTAAGAGGTTAAATCTAACAAGCTGACACAAAGTTGCTACTAAATATGGCATTAGTGGTGGAACAATTTGTTACAAATTGAAAGAAAAACACAACTCGAAACGTGTTAAACCATACTTCTTTTCCGAGGAGGAGGCTGTTTTTGTGAAGTGTACTATTCAATTAAGTGATTTTGAATTTTCAATCTGTAAAGAATATTTATGTTATATTTTAAATAATTATCTAATTAATTCAGGAAAAAAAGTCAAAGAGTCTAAAGTTTCTCCTGAGCTTGATTTAGTTAACTCATTTTTACAAATGACATCTACAGCTTACAAATAAATTTGAGCAAAACATAAAAATATTTTGGGTAATGATTGTGCATGTACTTTTAGGCAACATATATAAGATGACTCAAATTTGACCCAGGGTTAAAAAAATACTTCGTAAAGAGAAGTAATAAATGCCTAGGAAATACAAGAAGCACTTCTCAGACAAGTATTTCTATTTTAATATCAAGTAATGCTGTAAGTGATGTTCTAATAACTTTTAAAGGTGGTAGAACATCACTTACGCCTGTGAAAATAATGAAATACTGTTTGTTTAATTACCATCTAATAGCACGCTAATAACTTACCCTCTAGATGTGGCTTTCTTTAAACTTTTAAAAACAGCTTGACATAGAATTATAAAAACGTACAGAAATTCTCATAATGGTTTTACAAAAACATCTCATGAAAAATAAAATACTCCTGAATTTTTAAATAACTTATTGATTGCTGTAAAACCATCAGGTTTTAGAAATTGTGATATTCATTCAGCAAATGCCAATCAATTTTCACAAAATTTATAGACAGAATCGTAAAAAGAGAATTGCTCTCTATAAAGAATTTTTAGAAGACTACTTTAAGATTTTTTTAGACAAAGTTTATAAATTGTTTCACTCTGCAGTAACTAAAAAACGAAAAAAAAACTTTTATATTCTTGCAGGAAAAATGTTGCTTCTGAAAATTATGAAGTATTTAAGTTTTGATATTGGCTCAATTCTTTCAAAGAAAAAAAAAACAGATCAAAAATATGAACAGCATAAAGTCATTTATTCTGAAGAAGACCCGAAAGAGCGCTACGATCAAAGTTTTAAATTAAAATCATTGAGAAGCATTGAAAATAAACTTGTCAGCAAAAAAAAAATAAGTATGAGAAGTCAAACTCAGAAATTTGAGACTAGTAAACCATTTTTTGACAAACTACAAATATTAAAAAAACAGTGCTTATGTAAAGCCAATTGTAAAAATATTAAATGGTTATCTGATGCAAGAAGATTTTAATTAGTGGGGAATTATTTGATTCGCATCAAGGAGCCTCAAAAAATAACCAAAACTAAAGAACTTTACAAACCAACTCTATAAGACTTTGATTAGGGCTCTTGAAATTTGTTTAGTTAGCATTTATTTTTTATTTGAAAGACATATAATTGCCTACATTAAAAAAAATTTTGTGTTTTTAGTTTTTAATATGGCTGTGTTTCCTTTATCGTTTTATATTCATTTTTAACCAAAACAGTAGTAAATTATATATTTTTTTATTTTTATTCGTCTTTAAACTCTCGTTTCCTTTAAACAGTTTGATAAAAAGACTTTAAATAGCTAAATTCATATAAACGGTAAAGTTTTTTTCAAAGTTTATAAGGCCGTGCAAAGTTAGCCAAATCCCCGGTTAACTTAGGACATAATGTAGACATACTTAGAATGTAGAAAATACTTCTTAAATTGTTAAAAAAAATTTCAAATGATAAAAAAATTAGTGTTGTGACCAAAATAAAAATTGTAACAAACTAAACTAAAAATACCGTAACTAAAATTAGTTGACTAACTTTTTAGTTAACTAAAATTAGTCTATTAACTTTTTAGTTAACTAAAATCAGTCGACTAACTTTTTAGTTAACTAAAACTGCGCGACTAACTTTTTAGTTAACTAAAGTTACCCGACTAACTTTTTAGCTAACTTAAATTAGTCGACTAACTTTTTAGTCTAACTAAAATTAGTCGACTAACTTTTTAGTTAGCTAAAATTACCAGACTAACTTTTTAGTTAACTAAAATTAACCGACTAAGCTTTTTGTTAACTAAATTTACGCGACTTTGTTTTTAGTCCAACTAAAGAATTTTATAAATATATAATATAAATAATTTGGGTTCATGATATAATTTCTATCAGAATTTTTGAATAAGAATGCGAATGCATAATCATTTTATCGCATAATACCGCAAAAATAAAAAAATATCAAAATAATTTTATTTCAATTTTCAGTTCCAAAGGTTTAGTATCAGTGTATCTAGATACTTCGAGAAAATATTATAAACAAGATACTTCAAGAAAATTTTTCATAAAAGATCCAAAAAGTAAACATAGTAAAACACAAATATCTATAGAATTGAATAAGCTACCAAGGCCAACGCAAAGGGGTGTAGGGATGGGTTGGTTGGTTTCGTGTGTGATATCCCATCAATGAACTTTTAGCTCATTAAGTAAGCCAATTTGACTCTTTTAGATAAGTAAGTTGGCAAATGTAGATTTTCAAAACAGTCAGTTAGTAAATTTAAAAAAACAAGAATTTTTTTTTCCTTTTTCTAGAAAGTAAAATTTTAACGGCACTCTCTACGTGTTACCTACTTGTGCCGGCTCTGTAGGCTACAGTATATTATTACTAAGTGAAGATCTTTTTTCTGAGGCATTAAACACTTATGCATGCAAAGCAAAACGTATGCAAACTTATACTTACGTATGCAAAGTAAAACAAAATAACAACTGAATGTTTTTAAATATTGATGTTTTTGTACGAAAATTTAGAATTTTTTTAATTTAGTTTAAATTCATTAAATTTAATACTGAAGTTTTTTCTTGTAATAAATATTTTTTAATATATTTATTGTTCTAAAAGAAATATTATTAAATTTAGTATTCGAACTCTTTTGTGTAAAACTGATTTTTTTTTTTTTGATTCAAAAAATTAAAAAATTAATATAGTTTTTTAAATTTAAAATATGTTAAAAAAAAAAGATAAAGGAAAAATTGAAAATTTAAAAAAATTAATGTGTGATTTTAATGTTCTTGAGCGTGCGGTTTTGTTATAATGTTGCCTAAAACAGCAAACTGTTTTACCTTTATTATTTTAATAGTTTGGTTTTTTTTTTTTTTAATATTTATTTATATATTCTTTAGTATTTTTTTAAACATCTATGTAATAAAAAATATATAAAAAGAAATATAATAAAAAAGTTATTGAATTTTAATTAAATATTGTTTCGACCCGGTTTTACACGTATTTTAAAGTGCTTAAAAACTACGTATTGCATTTTTCAAGTAATTAAGATGTCATAAACAATTTCCTGGTTTTAAAAGCGACCGCAGTTACTTAATAAAATGTTTTCATTATTCAACAGTTAAGTATTATTCAATACATTTTATACACTATTCAACAACTTAAATTGCGAATATTGCATTCAAAAATGCAAATACCAATTTTCCTTTTAAATTTTGCAAGTATCGCCAACCGACAAACAACTATATTCTGAAATCAAAAAAAATAAATTCATAATAACTTATTTAACGATTTCCTTTTGGGTTCATGTCAATACTTTCGCCTGCCTTACTATAGTGTTTGTGGGTTGTAATAGCCGTTAGGAGAGGTTGATATTAGAAATGGTGGGGAGGGGGAGTCATAGATTTGTTGTGAAAATTAGAGATTGAATTCATTCCTATAATATGACAGGGGACAGGGCTGTACTGAACAACGAAGACTTAGGGGGAGGGGGTGCAAATCAAATAAGCTTTTTTACCATAAAAATATCACCAAAGTAGTGCTTTTTTTTATTTAAAAGCCAAGTTGCAGTTTTAACCGACCGAGTCTCAAATTTTCTAAATTACCGACCAAACCGACATAATGTTGTAACCCCGGGAAGGTGCCTAAACTCACGTCGGTACGGCCTTGGCAGGAGAGATTATTTTTGATTTGCGATTGTTATTGCACACTACCTATAGGTAGCAGCACATAAAAAATATAAGTTAAACGTTCAATAAGCGTTATAAATTTGATATAATTGACTAAAGGGCATTATTTGTATATTCCATGCAGATTGGGTTTTTATTAGGGTTGTTAACCGGAGGATTTTGTGCAATTCCGGAAAAACAACATTCTTTCGTAAGGAGATTGAGAACACGGAATTACATTTTTTCGTACCGAATGTTACAAAACATTTAAAATTGCCGATGTTCATTTCGCAAAAGCCACTTCCAAAATTTAGCATTTCGCAAGTTGACATAGGAAACAAAACTATTTTGCAACATACGAAAGTAGCGGTTTCGGAAGTCGCACTTGCGAAACAAACATTTTCGCCAAACGACGTTTTAAAGTCTATAAAGAAAATTTGTTTGCCAGACTGATTTTAATTGTAAAAATTAACATCTTTAAATCCCAAAATGTTTTTGATGAATTTTTATTTTCAGTATAATAACTATTAAATTTTTATGGTTTTATTTTTAGAAATATTGATAAAAA